AGAGGAAATAACAGGTCAAATCAAGCAAATCCCCCTCTCAGATTCCACAGCAACCAGAAGAACAGAAATACTGGCTGGTGATTTGATTAATCAGCTTTGTGATGGAATAAAAAATGCACAGTGCATTTCCTTAGCTGTGGGTGAGTCCACTGACACCACTGACAATGCTCAGTTGCTGGTGTTTGTGAGTTGTTATGATGAGGCAAAGGGGGAGTTTGTTGAAGATGTGTTGGGCCTGACGAACCTCAGTGGACGCACAAGGGGGAATACAAATCAATAATGGGAATGCTGAATGAAAGAGGGTGCAGCTGCCTTTATTCATAACTGTGCAGCTCTTACACTGCGACTCTGAGGGGTCAAGCACAGACACAATAACAATGAAAACTGCTGCATATACAGATTATTTTTGTTTTTGCAACCTCGTGTTAAGAATCTTGTTGCAATTGTTTAAAAGTTTGAATGACCGTAATAAACGGACCTTTGTCTTATTGAAACATTTATTTTGGACCTTTAAGATTTGTATTTGAGTACCCCTGGACTAGACGGTCAAAGTCAATACACACTATAAACAGCAGTTGGGTAAAATCATCAAAAAAGCTTGTACAGTATTTGGGTGGTCTATAGATATTTAGGAACAGAGCTCGAGAGGAGCATTTCAGCTGAAGGGCCACATATTCAAAAGAATCAAAGTTCCCATACGATGTCTTCCTGCATTGAAGGGAATCATTGAACAGAATAGCAACTCCACCCCCTTTCTTATGCATTCTTTCCTGACTCATAAAACTAAAGTTGGGAGATGTTGATTCGATAAGAACAAATAAGGTCTGTGTTTGACACAAATTGAAGAGACAGATCACGTTTTGTTCTACGACATTAAACACATCAGCAGTGACCCCGCTGGTGATTTTTGAAGAGTTTACGTGTCTGAAAAACGATGGTTGTTAACAAGTGGCTGAATAGGACTACAGAAGTTGTCCAGGCCGTTTTACGTCATTACACCGAACACGTAAAACACTCCCGCTAAGTTTGTTTGCCCTGTTCTGCTTGAAAGCAAGTACCTGCCTCCTGCAAACTGTTCAAACAAACACTTCAACTTGTACCATTTACAATCTGTATGTTTCAATATGGATCTTAAGTTGGCGTGACGTTGAAGCAGCGACCCTGCTGTAGTTCCTTTATAGCATAACGTTAGCATTTTGCTTCTTGTGACTAGATTTATGCTTCGAAAATTATAAAAGTAGGATAGACATGTGGATATTATCCGGCTGAACAAAACGTGATCCGTCTCTTAAATGTCTCTCAACCACAGACCTTATTTCGAGCTATTTTTCAAAATCCTATGGAGAAATTGCATTGCTTTTTGTCGAAGGAACCGGAAGGAGTTTACATCCGGGTTTTAGGACGTGTCAATGCTGAGGGGGCCGCAGTACCCCCATCTGCGAGGCTCCACCCCCCCCCCCCCCCCCCCCAGCGTGTCACAGTTTCGCCGCTGAGAGAGTGTGTGTGTGAGGAGCTCCACAGAACCATTCCATTTGGGTATGGGCACGTCACTGTACCCAGGAAGCAAGCAATGGAAATAGAGAAATCTCCAACGAGGCGTTCTGGGGCAGCATAGACAGGTCTTTTCTGTGTTAGAGTTTTACTCGCTACAGGGTGTACTTTGAGGGTTTGTGACTTTGCAGACCGTTTACATGCATAAAAAGCTTCATAACACACAAGGGGACGGGTAATAACCGGAAAAGCATGACATGGGACCTTTAATATAGACTATATTTAGGTCGATATATACAATATATACGATATATACAATACTTTAAAATAGCACATCACTGTGACCGGATATAGTTTTTCGTCTTAGTGAACGTGTGTCTCTTCCTTGGAGGAGCAGCATCGCCCGGACTCCGCGGCTCCTCCCAATTTAACCCCTCATTGGTATTTCTCCTAACAGATGTTTATTTTAGGGACACAAAACACGGAAGGGACATTTGAATGTGTGATACCTCAAGCACTCCTCTTCTCATTTTAAAAGCAGTGTGTCATGGCGGCTTCACAGTCGAATGAATGTGAAGTGATACAGTATACTCCAGAACAACATAAAAAAAACACCAAAATGAGATTTTAACCTTTAAGATAATCACTTTGAATTAAAGTATTGAGGGCAAAACACATTTATTTAGTAACTTTTTATGCATTGCATGTGAAATCTTTCATGTCTTGATCGTAAATCCGAAATATTATACATTTTTGTGTTTTTAGTGCTTCATAAGTGTGTGAATGTGTTTATGTGTGTGCATGTGTTTTTCTCATTTGATCCATCATGAGTGTTTGTTCAGAGGTTGTTTGATTGACTTTGCCCCCCGTATTTCCTCAGGAGAATGCATCATGAGCTCATTTACACACAATGGCAGTTACATGAATTCGAAATAATGTATTAGTGCACAGCTACACTAAGTGAGTGACTTGATACATTGGTCATACTTTGAAGACATTGCTGAGAGTTTTGTTATTATTGTTGCCCCTTTTTAGTTTGACAGATTTCTCTCGTGTGGTTCTCCCTGCTCTAACCCACCACTGACGCAAAGTTTCATAACTCATTCGGATGTGAATCACAACATTATTTTATGTACAGTAGTGGATAAACAACATCATCTCTGAAATATTTGTGAATTTGGTTTAAATGCTTTCGCTGTAGAGTGTCTGTCAGGGCGAATTTACCAGGGGGGGATACAAGTGTCTGCTCTAGACACGATATACCTCTTGTCCTAGAATAGGTTGAAAGTGGTGCCAGCTCTTCTCCATGCTATTCCAAAACTTGACACAGTATATTGAGAGCCTTAAAACGCTATCGATCAGCTCCCCATTCAGCCTATGTCTCTATTCCCTTACGGCTGTTTCTCATAATTCATAATTAGACGAGAATTATTGAGATATGCTCGTTGGAAACGTTTTTCCACCATTAGAAAAACAGATTATTAAACAGTCTAAATCTAAAACGTTTTATTATACAAAAAACAACCTTCTGCTTTTTTGTCAGAGAAAATATAATGCACTATAATGCATTGTTAACTACTATATTGCACATTCCTTGCTTGCCTCTAAGACATGACTCACTCTCGGCTCCCCTTGATGACAAGATGAATGAAATTAACATACTAGTCACTTGTAATTACAATATTTAGCTAGCTGATCAAGTTTAGCCCCCTGGCAGCTATCAAAGGGCAGCTGTCGAAGTGTTGGGATGCAGGTAAAAGAGACAGGGGTGTCAAATTCAATGAGCTTCTTCCCTTGTTACTCATTCGATCCTACCCCACTGTTTACAAATGAGCCCCTGTTCACAAAGCAGTACAAACCCCCCAACACCTGGTGATACTGCAGTATTTGTCAGAGGTTGTTGTTCCATCTCTAAATGGACCCTATGTTTTTCCCACTGCTCCCCTGCACTCAATATACTGGTTCTGAAGCATGCAGGATGCAGACGTCTTCTTTTTATTATTCCTGCATGGTTTTGCACAGACTGCTTCTCTGCATGTCATTTAGAGAGCTTGAATCCCACAGACCGCACACTTTTTGTCATTTTGAAGGGGGGAAAAGGTGCTCACAGCTTCTTCTTTTTTTCCTGACTTTGAGCATGAAGAGACACCTGTGATAGAGGGAGTTAAAAAACCTGCAGAAGGCATGATTAGTTCATATTTGATATGTGATAACAATAGGATGTCTTGGAGGAGAAAGAGGATCGGACGGTTGCCTTCGTTTGGAAAAGAAAACTTAAGGGACTTATCGAAAAGTGCTCCAATCTCTAATTAGAGCGGATTGTTCTGGCCATTTTGAGTCCACATGCTGAGACGCCGCTGGATAGTTCGATGTTAGCAATTCATGATTGGCTCGGTCAGAATACCCTTTAGAAAAGCTTCTAAAAAATCCCAAGAAATTAGACTCCATCTAAGTTGTCCTGTCAGAAGGATGTTGGTGAGATGTTGTCTCAAAGTGTTTAATGAATATTAAGTTAAAATCAACTCCAAAATTAAAGCTTATCTAATCTCCTCCTAGACAGCCCATTGGGAATAATTAGACAAGTTGGATGGGGGGGGTGAGGCAGATGGACTTTTGTCTTGCTGCAAAAGGTATGGGAATGTCATCATCAATCCGGCTTTGTACAGTGTTTTTTTTTTTGACTGACAATTCAAGCATCGCTGTCAGCTATTTTCAGCAAACAACATGTTTGAAGTGATGATTTGCATTGCCAAACCTTTTTTTTCAGGCAGCGTAAACTCTACGGAGGAAGAGTTGCAGCAAACCGAGACCAATATGCCAATTGTTGGTTTGATTTAATGCAGCTGTATGTGCATTTTTGGTTTCTCTGACATTACATTTCTTGAGTTGTCACATTCAAATCCAGTTTGACCTGCGGTGCTCTTTATCCAGTCACTCACCGCGACATGGCCCGTCTCTTTGTCATTTGAAACATGTTGTCTAAAACGGTCATTTCTATGCAAATGTACGACAAGAGTAAGTGATTTGGCCTCAAAGTCATTATTGAATGCTCCTTCATATCATTCCTCTCAGCAAATGGTTATTCTTTTCAAATTGACAGACACTGAACATGAAACATTCTCAGTGATGTTGCTCTCTCAAAAACATCAACAATTTTTCTTTTGTTTACCCAAAATGTCAGTTAAAGCTTCTTACGCATCAAACATCTTTCTCTTTTTAAGTTTCTCAATTACTCAAAGAAGAATAGAAACATCCTGCAAATCCATTGGATCTCATTTCTTTTTTTTTAAATCTCAGAATGGACTTTTTTTTAGACTCTAGACTTTACAAAACAGGTGTAACACCTTGCACCATGATTTCTTTCCTCTTCTTCCTCAATCTTCACCCCCTCTACCACCTGTTTGGTTCACACAGCACCACATTATTCTCAAGCATGCTCACGTTCAAGAAACTGTGTGCGGTTTTACTCACTTTTTGTATCCCGCTTCTGCTTATCTTCATCCCTTCAGGTATCATGACAAACAGGAAGTGACCAGTAACTTCCTGGGAGCCATGTGGCTCATCTCGATTACCTTCCTCTCCATCGGCTACGGTGACATGGTACCACACACATACTGTGGGAAAGGCGTGTGTCTGCTTACAGGGATCATGGTGGGTTCCTCTCTTCTTCACACAGATACATATCTAATACTCTCACAGGAACATTTGAAAACTAAAACCGCACTCTGAACATACTGCACAAGCAACATAACTAAATAAGTTGATTTTTGTAGAAATTCAAATATTGAGTTGAGTGGATAAATATTTGAAGATCAAATATGATTGAGTTCGCAGTAGCTTGAGTCTTTTATAATCTATGAAATCACCTGCGTACTTGCCTTTATTACAAAGTCCAGTTATTTTTCGTATATATATAAGTATATTTTGTCCTGCTGAATACCATACATTTCTGTCCAAAGAAAAAGTGCCCAAGAAGTTGTTTATATAAAAAAAATCTCAGTTTCACTGTTCTTTAATCTGGTGTTTCAGTCGAGTTTTAGGGGCATTACCAAATGTAACTTCATGGTTAAATATGTTTAATGACTTAAAGAGCCTGTGACACGAGTTTCCCCCATCACCCAAACCCATCAATTTGAGTAAATATTGTCCCCATGAAAATCGTTACTGAACTGATTTTGGATATTTGTACTTTGATAACCATTAATCTGCCCTTCAATGTTGACAATTTTCTGGATCTTCTCGGGGATTCTTCAAGTCCCGCCAAATTATGTGTGACGTCATTGCGGATCCCAGCATCTGCATGTAAACGCACGATGGCGCAAGCTCAGACAGCTCAGACAGTTTAATTTTGAACGTGTCTGAGAGCTCATATGAGGCTGAAGGATCGGTTTATGTTGTATCTGTTAGAAGTTTAGGAATTAGGTGCGTCAATATGGGCGATAATACGGGACTCTCGACCGGCCCACTTCGGTACCGCTAGTAAGTTGTCAACGGGGGAGTGGGGGATTTGCTAGTGACTTATCCGACCGGCCCACTTCGGTACCAGCCCATCGGGATTCGTCCCGATGGCCAGTCCGCCACTGAACCCAGCCCAGCCCACGTATACTGTCAACGGGGGGAGCCTCGCTGCGGGGAAACGGTGGACCTAGTGTCCCGATCGGAGTGGGAATAATAATAATAATAATAATCCGTGCATTTTATCCATTAATTTCCCCAACATTGTGGTAAAAAAAACACACGTTTAATCCATGTTGGTGTACTACAACTACAAAAAGCATCGGTTTGTTTTCTCATCAGGAAATGCAGACCGGCTCAAACAAACGATTTTTAAATCATCATCCTCACGATCATTTAATGTATCATATGTTCGCCGAATTTACATGAAAGCACTAATACATTTTCAATAAATTTTCATCCACTTGAGTTTACAACTACAAAAATAATCGATTTGTTTTTATATCATATCCTACGGGAGGAAATTCAGCAGCTCTCACTACCGATTTTGAATCCTAATTTAATCATCATCTTCACCACGATCATTTATGTTTATGTTCGCCGAATTGACATGAAAGCACTGACAAATATGAATATACTGTAGTCAACTTCATTACAACGTTATTAACGTGCCTAAACTGAGTAATTCACCATTTCTACGCATGACAACACACTTTGTCCGTGTTTGGCTCTCTCGCCGCACAGTGAAGCGTTCCCGCATTGACGTCACTTCCGGCTTCCCCCAAAACCTCAAAATGAGTCGAAGGAATTTCCCCGCGATGTTCGAAATTATTGATATTTATCGGAACGGTATCGCACCTTCTTTTTTAAACTGACGGTTCGAGATGACTAGCCCAATATTTCATTGCACAACAGTTGTTGGGAGGCTGTCACAGGCTCTTTAAACTGTTTTGTAATGTTTCTTTACTGGTCCTTTCTGTTCTTTATCAATGTAGTGAAGTTTCATTTTAAAAAGCTCACAAACAAAATGTTGTTGTTGCTGTGTTTGTTTGTCTGTGGGTTTGTGAACAGGGAGCTGGTTGCACTGCACTGGTGGTTGCCGTGGTAGCCAGGAAGCTGGAGCTGACCAAGGCTGAGAAACACGTCCACAACTTCATGATGGACACACAACTCTGCAAACGAGTGAGTCACTGCATGCCACCGCATTCTAGTTATTTAGATTAAATATCAAGGGTTTCTTCCCATTTCATTTAGGACTGTCATTTGAATGTTGACTAAAGCGAGACTAAAATTAGATCTGCAGGCATGTATATTTAGATCCACACCCCAGACGCAGAGTTCTGCAGTAGTAACGTTTTCTAAACCCTATTCAGAAGTCAAATGATAAACACTGTCAAAATACAAAAGAAAATAAATGATTCTGAAGGTTAGAACAGGACAAGTAAGTAGCAAAAATAATTATTTTCGTCTCTCTTATTCTGCTAATTATTCTATGACTTTTTATTTTATAGATCCCTTTTGGGTTGTGACTCCCAGTTGACACTTTATCCTCATGATACTATCTGTAAAAATCTCCTGTGTTGATACTAATCTGAGTGTTGTAAATCGTCAAAAATGTAAAGTTCCTCTCAGTAACATCAACTGACTCTTTGTCACATTTTTAAACATCAAATCCCTTTGTTGTTATTTACCTTGTGGTTTTATGTTGATGTTTCTTGTCCTAGCTTTGCAATCCTTGTAACTCTGGTTCATTTGTTATAAATACATAGCTTGTAACTCAGGTTTTAGAAATAAAGTAAATGTAACTTCTTGCTACTATTTATCATGTATGCCTGAGTTTCACATCTGAATTTGTAGACTTGAAGCTACTTTACATTGTATGTCTTTCTCACGTTGCTCCTCAGGTAAAGAACACAGCTGCCAATGTACTCAGGGAAACATGGCTCATCTACAAACACACTAAGTTGGTAAAGAAGATAGATCATGCCAAGGTGCGGAAACACCAGCGCAAGTTTCTCCAAGCCATTCACCAGTAAGTCCTTTTCTGAATTTGCTTTGTGTAATCTAATGTGTCATACAAATGTTTGACAGAAATATGATGATTTTTTCACCAAGAGCAACCGAGGGGAATCACTCAGCATACCCAAAGGACGACAGTAAATTGTTCTTAAGATGTGATTTGTGGAACATAACATTTACACTGTATTATTAATAGTTGTGTTGCTTATAAACTTGTGAGATTAGTCATAGCTGATAAAATTTCTAGTGTACAATTTCCTTTGATTGTGTTGCTCACACATGTTAACTCATACACACAAGTCCACACACTGCAATCTAGTGTAATGGTCCTTCCTATCCCCCTCCCTGTCTCCCTCTCCCTCCAACCCCCTTTTACCCTGTGCTTACAGTGAGAAGTGTAATGGTTTCACTCGTTTCGTGAATGTCGTGGGGTTAAACTCTGTACTGTGTTCTGTCTTTGTTTTGCTCTATCACTGCAGAGCTCAGAAGTAAGTTGAGTCTTCTATGTATCCTCCTCCTACTGTTTCCTCAACATCCTCCTCCTCTCTCCATGTTTGCGTTTGACATGCATGAAGAAAAGCATTTGCTACCAAAAAAGAAAAGAAAAAGATGCTGAATTGTTTTAGTTTTTTTCCTTTACTTCAGTGTTCCATCTACTTCCCTCTCCCTCCCATCTTCCCTTTTGAATGGAATGTAAAAAAAAAAGCATCAACATTTTGCCACCGATGTCGATAGTGGAGGATTGTCTGGAGAGAACGTGTGAAAGAAAGAAACATCTTGCACAGAATGAGCTTGGAGCTTTGTTGGTCAGCGGTTCATAATCATCTACGGTGTACTGCACTATGTTGCCCATGATTAATATAGCTGCTCTGGAGGCTATATTAACCTGCATCAACAGAACTCATCCTACACAACTGATGGCTTTGTGATGAACACACACACTGACAAAATCACACCCTGTCATATAACATCCTTTTGATTAGGTTTTTATGTTTGCTGATTTAATAATATCAAAGAGGTTTGTGTGCATTTAAATGGTCTGCAAAGGCTACAATCCCAAACTTCTCTGTAGAGGGAGTCTCCCACGCACACACCCTGCCTGACACACCTTGATTGGATTCCTTTGTCTACTTCCTGGACATAGTGACATCACTACGTAACACTTGCGCTCCTATTGGCTAGGGCTAAAGGGGTGGGACATCTCTAAGCTTGCCAATTAGAGCAGACTGGGCTCTAGTTTCAGACAGAGGGTGAAAATAGGCGCTGCAGCACAGGCAGTATGAGAACAATAAAGACCTTTTTGAACATTTAAGCATGTAAACAAGTCACAGTAGAGGCACAAAATACAAAAATGAAAATGAGAATTAGCATAATAGGGCCACTTTGGCTTTCATTTCTTATTTGTCATAAAATGCCATGGCTCGCAAAACAGTGATGATACAGCACAACAAGACGAGGCACATCACGTAGGTTGTGGTTTTCTGGAATCAAATTGTACTCTTTATGCATTACACTGATAAGTAGTGCTTTTAGCCCCTATTCTTCGACATCCATAAGGGAAAACAAAGCGGAGCAAACAGACTCACACCAGCTGAAACGGCTTCCCACAGAGATGGAGCCGTAAGCGAGCAGTCTCACTCTGCTCTGATATACTGATTTGCACATGAATAAATGCCCTTGAATGTCATCCTGTCTCATAATTTGCCGAACAGGGAAATTCTTCCTCACTCACGTCCAAATGATGACTGTGTGATGCCACCCCTAACAATGACACATTATCCGCATCAGCGCTAACAGTTCTTACGGGGCCTTAATGTATTTGATTATAGATAAAGAGGCACAATGTAGAAGGCATCGCAAAACATGTCCGATGTATCATTGCACAAGTTATTTGAAATGTCCATGTTGCGGTACGTTTGGCAGTGTCATTAGACAGTTTAATTTTTGGCAAGCTCCATCTTTTATGTGTGTCATCGACGCAAATACACACATCAACCCATGAACACACACACACACCGAAAGACTGGCATTTCATTGTGCACAAAGTCACTCACAGTCACTGCCTGCTTACTGAATGACCAGTGTGTATATATGAAGTCCTACCACCGAGCTGTGTGTAGCACTGACAAGGGGCATGTCATCTTTTTCCTTTTTCAATGTCTTACTTTTGGGTGGAAAAGATGAGAATGTTTTGATTTCAAACTGATTTGGGGATTTTCTTGTATGGAAGCATATTGCATTTTTGCAACAAAAAAAAGAATAACAACCCATCAAGTTCTGGTTTTAAATTAATGTTTTTGTTCCCCTCTTATTGACAATAACAAGATCATCTCTCAATATTTCGATGGTTAAGATAAAAATGTGCTACTTGAAGCATTGTTAAACAGATGAACATGGTGGTCTTTATTTTTTATTAATCAAATCAGTGTAGTATGCTTCCGCAATTTTGCATGTTTTGGTTGGTATTGCATTGACCAAGACCAGGAATGCTTGTGTATACATATCTTTATATATGTATAAATACAGTGAAGTACATATATTTAAGATGCATGCAGGCAGTCCTCTCTATTTTCAATGTCATCACCCAGAGAGCACACTGATAAAAACTGTGTTCCTCCTCCTCCTCCTTCCTCTTCCCTACTGGCCCTCTCTTCCCCTCATCCCCCCCCAAACAATCTGTCTCTCTACTATCTATTCCCTTATTCCCCCACCACTCCTTTCTTTGCTTCCACCTCTTTCTCCACCTCCTTCTTCCCCTCTTCCTCCTGTTCCCACCTCCCTTTGCCTTTACAAGACTGCGCAGTGTGAAGATGGAGCAACGGAAACTCAATGATCAGGCCAACACCTTGGTGGACCTCGCAAAGGTAAGTCTGCCTTTTTAAAGTGGCAAGAATCCATATTTTTACATAGACAAGTAATCACATGACTACTTTTATACAAAAAGAGTGTGTTTAACGAACTGTAAAATCTTCCCTGCACTAAATGGCATGCCCCCAGTTTAGAGAAGTTATAGCATTGAAGCTCGGCAGTGTTCTGGAGCAGCAGCACAACATATTAAGCCCAGCTTAAAATCTGTTTAAGTGTGCGCTTCATTTGATCTGTTTAGCTGTCTGACATGGAGCTCAGTGAATGGAGGTCGAGTCAGCAGTAAAACGGCAACTTAGGTGTGCTGCAACTTTAAATAACTGTTTTCGTCAATGGAGTTTGGTGGCTTCAAATAGAGCAGGGGTGGGGAACCTTTTTCCTCTCAAGGGCCATTTACATTTTTTCAACATCCTCCGAGGGCCGCCGTACAAATTATTGACCTCTGCTTAAAAATACTAAAATCACAGCCCATTCATTTGGCTTTTCTTTCATTCTGTGCAAAGAAAAAGCAACCTCTTAATCCAGATATCTCACCATGACTCGCGCATGCATGCACGTGCACGGTTGTGTCATGACCACCAAAACGGAAAGATATGGACACAAGATGTGTGCAAATGTATTTAGTTTTTAAGAAAAGTTTCTCTCCTTTGACAAATATCCAAGTATTTGTCAGATAACTGAACACAGAATCAACACAGATAAGATTCCTGTTGCCCAACAATCTATCTTCTGGCTGTTTGAGGAGTTTGAGAATCCAGATCCTAGTCCAACACTGTGATCACTATGTGTCTGTCGGAGGGTGAATGCAGTGTGATAGCTTCTGTTTTGCTGTAGAGGCGTCAGCTGACCCACCAGAGCAGAGAGGGGGTTCAAAGGGAGGTGCCTGACCGCAGCCTCATTTGATGTGGATGGCATTTGCACTCCAGTGTGTATTTTAAAAGGTTCTAAGGCCAACTCCTTTAATGTGTGTTTACTTGCCCTTACTCTGCTCGATGGTCAGATCCATCTCTGCTCACCCTACAGTAGTTTAACGGCTCAATGACTCTTTGTTAAGCTCTATGGTGAAGTAACCCTTTGATTTCTGGCTTAAACACAAGTCGGGAATCATTTACTAATGATTGTGAGAGGCCTTCACACCCTTAACTGGGGAACATTACATTGTATGCCATATGGTAAATACTTTGTCATAAATAATACACATTTATAAGCTTTATATACATTTTATATCATACAATATTGGCATGGTCTGAGTAGAATAATAACATGCAGATAGCAAATACATTAACCAACGTGGGCCCTGATGCGTCCACTGTGGAACAATAAGTTCCTAAATAATAGACGCTTTTCATTATATGAATGATTGGTGTCAAGCGCATACATAAAGCATTTAAGACCTTCTCCGGTTATAAATGGATTGGAGAAGCTGGTAGGGAAACGGTGGGAAGATAACATCAATGCTGACTTGCTGAAAGTATACAGCTACCCCTTCACACTGCTTCCTGTCATTATTCCCTCCTCTTCAGACTGAGTAAGTCAGATTTAGACTGGCTACTTATGTTATTTAAGACATGCAGGCCTTTTCCCCATGTACACATACTGCACATCCTGTTAAGCCCATTTTCCAATGGACAAAATACCCAGTATCACCCGCTAACATCTGGCTTTTGTCTACCGTGGGAAAGGTTACAATCAGCAATTATTACCGGCTCAGCAGTAGTCAAAGATATTCGTCGGCGCCCCTTCCAGTTGCAGTGACGAACACATTACAAACAAGATTTATAGAATTATTATAATTTGTTGAACATACAATTAATATAATTTCCTTAAAGCCACCAGACTCCACTGACAAAAAGTTGATTAACTTGCTGCATAATATTATAAACACCTCGTACAAACCCGGCATAAAACAAAAAACTCTGGTTTAAGAGTTTAAGGAGACCCTAACATAGAGCTATTTACTAACATGCTTCAAGTGTAGGCTGTCACATCCCTAATGTAGAACTTGACACGGCTGAAATTACAAAAGGAAGACCTACTTCTTTACTGGCAATGAGGCAAGAGTCCATGGATTGTTTTATCAGGTTTTTTGTGCTTAAAAAGGAAAAGAGGTATAAATAAAATTGGTTGCATCTTTACTTGTGTTTATTAAGTTATCCTCCACTAACCCCCCCGGCCCTCCTCTTCTTCCCTCTCTGTCTTCCTGTTCCTGCACCTCCCCAAACACATTTACTCTCTCTCCTTCATTAGACCCAGAATGTGATGTATGACCTGGTGTCAGAGCTGCAGGAGCGCAGTGAGGAGCTGGACAAGCGCATCGGCACGTTGGAGGACAAGCTGGACTCGGTGACGGGCAGCCTGCAGGCTCTGCCCTGCCTCATCTCCCAAGCCATAACCCAGCAGCAGCAGGAATTCCTGGACGGCTTTGTTCACCGCTTTCGGCCCGCCTCACTAGCCTCTGAGCGCTCTGAGCGCTCTGAGCGCTCTGAGCGGTCATGGACTTCCACCGCCCGCAGGCGGCGCTCTCCCTCCACAGCACCACACACATCCTCTGATAGCGGATAACCTTGACCAACCCGACGGGCCTCACCTTTCCCAAACCAACTCGCCACCTCACTCCTATCCAAAGCTGCCCCTGTAACCGCTGGCGAGTCCACGTCTGGACTGATAATGAACCCATATCTTGACCTCTGACCTGATCCTTACCCTTATTCTCTCCCTCCCATCCATCTTCTCTCCCCTTCCCCCCCACATCACATCCAAATACCAATTCCTCTGTGACTGGGCGACTCAGCACAGGACAGGATCAGAGCTACTCCAAAAGAATAAAGAAAAAGCAAACAAAGACTTAAATCGAGAAAAAACACAAATGCATAAAAAAAAAAAAAGGGGAAAAAATGAAAAATGACTGAAAAACCGAGATAAAGTAGAGATATGGTTTATGTTTTAGCCATTGTATGGCTGTTCAAGTTAGCTTTTTTGTAAAAGCCCTTGTATAGTTAAAAAATGAATGAGTTCAGGGTCGCTGGGGTGAGAGCTGGCTATCACACCGGAGAGTCCTTAACCACGAGGGGGGAAGTCGGTCTGTGGAGACGAGAGCCTCGGCTCACCTGCTGGCCCTCTGAGGCCATGGAGGACATCCGTCCACCCATCCGTCCGTCTATCTGTCAGTCCTGTGGCAAACCATTGGATTTCCCTTTCAAAAGACTAGTGTCATAGATTCTTTCCCATATGTAGGGTGAAAGCTTTAGATAAGGCTTGGAAAGCTCTGGCTTCAGGTCAGTGTTTGAAAATGCACTTAAGGGGAAACTGTCACACAAACGAAGAGCAAAGGGGATGCTTATGGCATTACTACTGGGTAGGAAAATGTACACAGTTGCCAACTTCAAGGTTTCAGCTTCCTTGTTCTTACCAAGGGAAAATGAGAGCGACTATCTTTTTTAGTTACATATTGACATGTGATTTTTCAGTGCCTGAATGTATAAATAGTAGAGGGTTATTTAATTACTGATTTCAGAGCTTTTTTACGATGTTAACAGTCTGAATACAGCATTGCATTCCTTTTTCAGATACATTCCTCCAAAAATTTAAAGAAAATGTCTTAATGTAATGCATAACATTGCCTCCATTACACAGCAACTCTAAATGTTTTGAATTTTTTTATTTCTATTTCTACTAACACCGTGGGTTAAGAAAAAGTTCAGAGACTAAAGCAAAAGGGAGACAGTCGGAGAGAATATTTGTGAGTGTGTTTGTCAGAGTTCACTTTTAGCTCAATGCTGCACACTATGTAATATGTAGTAGTCTACCTTTCTCACCACCCCTAATTAGAGCTTCCTGTGGTCTTCAGATGAAGGCATGGCTTGAGGTCTGCCGGTATGTGCGGCCACACAGGCTCACATCACTGGTCTGCATGGGTATGTGCAACAATGGCAGTGGAACACATTCTTCCTCGGATGGCTTGATGATTTTATTTAGACTTTTATTACGTTTAATTTAGTTTGGGTTGCCTTTCTTTCCTTTCTTTTACAAAACATGTTTTACTAGGATACCTAGGGTTTTTACAGTTGCAGAACCTAGAGAGTTGCAGTAATGTGATTCTGTAATGCATTCCCTTTAAAATATGAGGTGAAGAATTAATCGCTATTATAAAAGGATACAAATAAAAGTGCTGAAGAAACTTGGATGAAAGGGTCCCTCTGCAAACTAAAAATAATAGTTTAAAATACATTTATTCATTTTCTAGCTAAGTGTTTGATGCAAAGATTGATACAACAGTGTAAATATGAAGCTACTGCTAGAAGCTGCTTAGCTTAGCTTAGCTAAACTGAGCTTGTGGTCAAGACTAGAAACAAGGAGAACAGTATTCCTAGCTCTTTATAAATTAAAACAATGTTTATTGGTTGTTTAATCCCTACAGAAAACTAAAATGAAATTGTCACTTCCTGGACTTTCTGCTGGTTGCCTTGGCTACTGCGTGTTCTCAACATGTTCATACTTTTGTTTTTCGTACGGATTAAAAAACATGAGATGTTAAGTGATTTTCAGGAGCTTGTAAGTGTATTGTAATACCCTTATGCAGAAGCATCTGTTTTTATACTTTTTGCCTTTTTAAATACTAAAATTAGCTAGCGACATCTGTCTTCTTATTTACCGAAAGAGTGCTGTCAATCTTTTCATCTAACTCAATGAGCAATCAAGTGAATTAGCTTATTTTCCAACTATTCCTCTAACATTACAGTATTAGGCCACTATGGTGTCTTTTTAAAAGACATGATTACACATTGACTAGGATAGAGGATACGATTAAAACATTCTGAATTTGAGAGGCATGGTGAATGATTAATCTTAGAATAGTAATACATTACTTTTTGAAGATAAATATTTAGGATGTTTAAAGCAATTTTTTCCAGAGAACATATAAAAGGCAGATCAGGAAGTCAGCGGGTTAGTGGGCTAGCATGCTGTCCTAAAGTAGTTTGAATGGTAGATAACTTGCATACGTAAAAGGATGTTGGAGCTAAAACAGAGTCTTTATGACCCCTTAAGCTAATAGACAAATAGGATCATATTTTTCGCTGGATCTTAACTATTTCCAAGATGCTACGATTTGAATTGGGGCAATCTCTAACCCCTGTGAGCGAGGTAATTCTCCCACAGGCTCTGGACAGGCCGAAGAGCACTTCATTTAAGAACACATTCAGGTTGCTACGAGTGGATCTTAATCAAGCATGATTATTAGCTTTTTTCCTTTGAACTTGAGTTGATGAAGCATGACTCTTTACTGCCCCCACCTCCAGCCACTTCTCTTGCAGTGCTACACTCCATCCTCCCAGTATAGAAGGATCTTTTATGCCATAACAGTCTCTGTTTTCGATCATGGACTGTTTCAGTCAGTGTCATCAATTGAGTCAGGACGGCTAACGTAAGACTGTCTGCTTGATTTTGACCTTACCTGCCTTTTATGTATCACAGGTCTCCACCTTATCATTGCATTGCATATTTAGTCTTGCGTTTGTCGTCTGTCATCATTAACAACTTCAGCCCCCCCAAACACAAATAGGCTTCCCAAATGGCCCGCAGCAAAGACCTTTTAGAGGTTTGAATGAAAAAAAACAAAACAGGAAGAAGCAGGGGAACCCTCAGGTCATGTTTCATGTTGCACTCAGTGTGTAATATTCAGTTACACCAGAAAGGATCGCAGATGCTGGAGTGTCGTCCCCAGAGACGTAACAGTACTGGTGTTAAGGAGTTCATCCTTCATCAGCCGGGGCGAGACTAGCTGGGGGGGGGAAATGGGAAAGATGAGAACAGTAGCTCATTTACTGACAGACGTTCGTTTTGGTTTGAGGGGGTTTGTGAAGAGCAAGAGTGTGTCCTGTAAATATGACCTCATTGTAGATGTCGAACAAACGGGCCAAATGGTGAGCCGCAGGGGTGAAGGTAGCCGGGAGCCCACACAGCAGGTTGCAAAAATGCAGGAGAATAAACATCTAGAAAGGAAATGACATATTATAAAAATATTATATTTTATTAATTTCACCTTTTTTTTTTCTGCTAATGGAGGTACAATCAGGTTCTGTTTTTTAACCCTGTTGTAGAAGTTGGTTTTCTTCTGCACTCCTTATCCTGTCACCAACTAAGTCCTGCCAAAACACCATTCCAATATCTAATAGTGACCCAATTTTTTTCCACTAGGAAATAAAAGATGCACAGTATTTTGTAGTAAAGTGAGGGACATTCATGATGTTATTCTGATGATGGTAGATGAGTCAAAGTGATAAACGCATCCCAGAGTCTTTTTAATTATCCTGAACAGTAGGCTTTCCTCGTAGAGCAGGAATCAAAACACACTTCTACTGAACAAAAACCCCAAAAAGTGAAGAAATGTAACCCAATCATTGTTCTGTGTACACTGCCACATGATGCATAATGTACGTAGTAGCACTGGAATAAATCAACTTTTAATGGATGGCAAATGGGTTTAACATGTTCTCTGTATACTGTTCGCTGTTCCTTCATTTTGCAGGTGAACTTTTGTCCTAGCAAGGAGAGACACCAAGGTCAAATCATTAAAGACTTTCTTCAGCTATGACCTCACTCTCTTCTCCTTTTTGGCAGAGCTAGTGTACTTGCATGACCTCCAATCTGAAACTTTTGTATACAAAGAAAAGGGAAACAGCTAATCGTTACAGTGAAAGGTGAGTTGGCACATGTGTTGACAGATACAGACATCACGTGTCTGTTCCTGGAAAACTGTGAGTCAGGGACATCCTAAAACATGATTACAGGAGGATGTATTGACATAAACATTGCTCCAGAGGACACACAGCTGCTGAGGCGCTGTTCCAAGGTGAACTATGAGCTGTACATAACACACGCACATACACACAAAGCCATTAATTTTCAAATAACAAGCTACTATTCATGTCCACATGCACAAACAAGGCTCAGCCTGGTTAATTACAGCCAAATCAGGAGGGACTTGGCAGCAGACCGATATCCCGCAAGAGTGGCAGAGTCAGTCACCCTGCAGTTGTTGCTATACAACCCCAAACACATGCAGCATTGAAAACACAGCTCCTCTGCTCCTCATCCCTCCCACATGAATACCACATCATTAGATATAGTGTTGTTATCCCTTTAATTTATGGTAATGTGTGATTTCAAACATGCACTCTTAGATCAGAATATAGTTTCACAGTTCAAAGTTATACATTGGTAAATTAAGGCCATTTTAGCCATAGATACCCAGCCTGGCCTAAGCAGGTGCTTTCCAGTATTCCCCTCAGTAATATTTCTGTATCTTAATTAGCCCAGTAAATCCATCCAGCTACTCACTCTTGTGTAAAAGGCAAGAATAGAGGCATCAAATTACCACAGATCCACCCTAGAGGGTACTTACGATGGGTCAATGGTGAAGCAAGACGAGAAGGTTGACTGAAGATGACCCTCGGACCGGGAATGGGTGGAGGGGAGGGAATCAACTTGCAGGGTGTTTAGGATCATACCAGAGTGTGAAAAGATCCTTCGGGGATAGCTTGCGGCCGGCAGAGGAAGTAATAATGAATTGATTGCAGGCCCTATCGTTCTCCCCATCTGCCCTGGAAGCTAATGGCTAGCAGGTGCATTATTCGTAATGCCCTCCCTATCACTTTCAGCTAACGTGGTTTGGCAAACCCTTTGGTATTTCAGAGAATATAGCAGTATTGATCTTGGTTTTTGGCACTTTTTAATGCACAATGCTGTAGTGGTTGAAAGTGGGTGTGAAGGGCTTTTTATTCCAATTAATGTTTTTTTGAGTGTTGTTTATTCAGCATCAATAATTTCTCTCTTTCTATCTGCTATCTTGTTGCTGGTTTCTCTCTAAAGGCAGAATGAACTGATACAAATGAGCTTGTCTGTCGGAGTCTGCCGGAGCTTCCCTGCCTCATTTACCTCTGAAGGAAGAAAATAGCATTTTTTCCTGAGCCCTCAAGCCATGTGTCGTTTTTATATGTACAAAAGTGGAGGGGCACGAAAAACGTAGATGTGTATAGCTTCTGGATTCTTTTTTAAACACGTAAACAAATAACTGTAGGCTATCCATGGTTCCGATAGAGAGAGAGGGGGGATGGGGGGGGTATAAGGAAAACACAGACACTCATCACCGAGGTCACAATATCAATCGATCCAGCAGAGCAATAGCCTATAGGCAAAACACAGAAGATCAAATATATGACATAAAATGAACTTACCAAAGCTGAAGTAGATGGTCAACTTCATTCATTTTCTTTCCGTTTTACTGATTTTAATCGCTATATGTTGCTCTCTTAAAATATATTTTAAGTAGGGCTGTCAAACGATTAAAATTTGTAATCAGATTAATCACAGCTTAAAAATTAATTAATCATGATTAATCACCATTCGAAATATGTCCAAAATATGCCATTTCTTTATATTGTTGTGGGAATGGAAAGATAAATGAAAGAAGGCGGATATATCCATTTAACATACAGTAGGCTATGTAGGCCTATGTATGTTTATTATAATAAATACATTTATTTATAAATATGATACATTGCGATGTTAACAACCTCATGATAACCTCATATGTTTTTAACTTAGGATCATACCTGTGTTTAGTCTAGAAAAAGGTAAATGTGTGCATTTTATTATAAAGTTGTGTATATTTACAGACCGTTGCAAAAACTAAGAAGCTTATAAACATCAGGTTTAAAACTAAAAGAGCTTTGAAACACAATGAAAGATGTTTGGAGTTTTATTTGAGTTATTCATTTAAACTTTTTGTCTAAGAGATGCTGATTTGAAACCGTTGTTACATACAGTTACGGCATTTCCTGTTTCTGCCGGAGAGAGGGGAGGCCGTCCCAAAGCTTGCTGCTGTATTTACTCCCTCCATCTGACAGGAGGGAGCCTCGTTGAGCTGCGAGTGTGGCTACAGACGGAGTTCACTCCATCACGGAGGGGTAGGGTCGAGGGAGTGGTTTGGGATTGGGCCAAAATGGCCCAACTTTTGAGAGAGTGAAACGTCACAGATTACCCGGCATGCCTGAGAAGTACCCGTATGTGCGCTCATAGAGCATGCGCAACTTTAACCCAAAATGCTCGTTCACATCAAGCACGTCAATTTGCGTACACGTAACAGCACCGTGCGTTCATGACAGCATGGTAATGATTTGTTATTATGATGGATTTGATATTAACGAGGCGGCAGTTAGCAGCTAGCGGCTATCTAGTAATTATGCTAATGTATCATCAATCGTTATGTACTTATATTACGCTGTAACAGGATCCAGTGATATCCAAGCAACAGAGCTTCATTAGCATGAAATAATTATTGCTCTGTATATATATATATACAGTGCAATAAGCTTCTTAGTGCAATAATAAGCTACAGGGACGTTAATCTACGTCGGTAATATTAACTTTATTTAATACAACATTTACGGTACAAGATTTACATCATACAGCCCATGTAGTATAATATTTGACAAATGATTAATTACAGCAAACACGTGCAATATATCCATTATTACAGCTCCGTGGGCTGGCAGTAAGGCGATATTGGTCCGTTGTTATTGTGCATAAAATAAACGCATGTAGTTCTGAACACGTAACATGAACGTGCCGGGCGGCGCGGTCCCGTGGGTTAGATGCGCGTTCATAATGCAGAGGGAAATAACTCTCAGAATAACGTTATTAGCACATTTGTACAACTTGAGGAACGAATGTTTTTAATAAGGGCTATACAAGTGTTCATACTGGGTTGTTTATTTAGTTTAAAAAAAAGTATCCAACGAGTTACAGACCACTCTTTCCCAATGTAAGTCAATGGGAAAAAGTGTTTCCGGGTCCAGCAACCTAAAGGAAGTGTAGTACCGCCGTTTGGCCAGCACGAATATTCTCATCAGACTCCGGCGCACTTCCTGGGGGCTTGATGTATATAGGCCCTTTCTCATTTATCTAACTCCCCTCCTCGACTCCTAACCTCGACTCCTATCCTCGAGACTTAGTCCCGCCCACAGGAGATGCGAACGGAGGAGTCGAGGAGGGGAACCGAGGAGAGAGGAGGGTAAGCAGCAGGCGGTTAGAGAAATGAGAACTCCTCTCCTCTGAGCGGTCATTTTAAAGAGACGTCCATTAATGATGACAGGAGGCACAGCAGCCCCTCTGTCTGATGGACAGATGTGTTCATGACGACTTATATATTTACTTTTAATTCATTCACCGTGCGCAGTGGCGACTGGTCATTAGGGGCAGGTGGCACAGCCCCACCTAGTGTCAGCAGAAAGTATTAAAAATAATGATTACAAAAAAATGCTAAAAATAAATACAAAAATACATTAAATATATTTTAAGATCATGTTTAATCATCTGATTCGTCTGTACATTGCTGTTTTAGTCTGTGTTCTTCTAATTAGTGTCTACAGTGTGTGCCTATTGAGCTGTTTAGAGCCATGTGGGACAAAACCCGATCCTGCCTCTCCCTATTACTAGGCTTGTTTTGCGGCTTTCACACCAGCGCTTTTCCCTTTCTAGCTCCGAGCGGGAGCTTTTCTGGTTCAGCTCCGGTTTCCGTTTTCTGCTCCCGCTCTGTTCACACCGCCCAGAGCTGCCGCTGCTGCGTCATGACGTCACCGTTTACGTGCCTGCTTCATAAAATCCAAACCGCGCGGAATTCCCTCACATCGACAACAACAACAATGGCCGATTGTATTGAAGCGCTGTTCGCTTTGGTTATCCTCTTACGAAACGAAATGGAAGGCATCGGACGACTTTACAAGGGACGACTTTACTTGGAACTTTACAAACATCACATGCGAAATGCAAGACTTCTTTGTGGTCTTCAGCATCTACTTCAACGAGATGCCCCTGCCCCCGCCTCGACGTAAGAGAGACGTAAGCGACGCCACCTCTTAGCTCCGAAGCTCTTGCCTCTAGTCTAGACCAAGCGGCAAACTGTGGGGTAGAGCCGGGAAGCCAATACGGAAGTGCCACACACTGCAGTTCATATATTGGCCGATAGGCGATGGCTGCAGAAAGGAACAATTTCCATAGACCCCCATGTTAAAATGCCCAACTTTACAGCAGAAAAAAACATGTTTCTACCCCTGGCTCCATACATTTTATTAGCGATATAGTTAGATTCCACCTTCATGATTATGGATCTGTGAGTGAATTGTTTTCTAACGCGACCCTTTTATTTATATTAGGTCTTAAAGTTTGTGCATAGATTAGGGCGTGGTCACATTGAGTGACGGCTCTGTCAAGTGCCTGCCGCTGTTAGCTTCTTGTCTCTCTGCTAGCTGCTCCGTGAAGCTAGCTACAGGGACTCTGCCTGCTCAGCTCATCCAGCAAACACAACTTGTAGCCGGCCGTGGTTGTTTGTTCTTCATGCTTATATATCGGACTATTGTGACTCGCTCTGCGGTTAAAACAGACGGTGCATGAATGCGGTAAGTGAAATTCGAGTGCTTTATTTATGTGTTAATGATTTTAATCGGCTACGTAATGAATGGTAAGGCTTGGGTTAGTTAGTGGCTAGTGGTAGCTACATCGGTGCTAACGATTGTAATCGTAGCCTCCAAGTTA